CGGGCACCTATGGATGAGGACAGTGGGTGGGGAGTGAGGGCGGGGGTGGGGCGGGAACTGGGAGGAGGGGAGTTATGGGGGAAAAAAGAGGAACAAATGTAATAATCTGAACAATAAAGATTTAAATTTAAAAAAAAAAAAAAAAGAAAACAGGTATGCAAAACAAGAGCCGTGTGCGGGCTGAGAGATTGGCAGTCATGGGAACAAATGGAGGGAGATGAAGTAAAAATGACATGGGTTACTGTCAGCTTCTCAACCCTGTGGGTGTGTGACTGCAGAACACATGTAACCAGTCATTACATTTACAAAACTCCCTTTTAAAAAAATTTTTAAAGGAAGGAAAGCTAAGATTCAGGTAAATGAGAAGGTAATCCAAAATAGTTTTCCAAATCATGTTTCAATTTCATTTGAGCCAATATAGATTATATTTAGCCGTTACTATTAGTAAACTTTTTATCACAATAAACCTTCCCTTGACAAAGCAAAATTGAATTCCCATCCCTTGAAGCCCAAGTTGGCCACAAGATGGCAATATAAGAAACTCATTTCCTCTTCCAGAGCTTGAGTGTAATCTGAATTTTCAGGTGAAGCATACTAGGCAATAAGTTCATGGATGCAAGCAACTTTCAGGCTATTTCCTATTCTTCACCTCATTTACTAACTAGAAAATTTTTTCTCTTACATTTAATTACTTAAAACTTATTAACTAAAAATATTACAAGTATATTTTTCCATGTTCCTTTTCATGCAGCAATGTAAAGATTTAAAACTTCATAACCTCAAAGACAATCTAATTGGAGAGAGAAGATTCATGAAAATTAACGTCCATGGTAAGTACCAACTAAGTGGTAGAGACAATAAGTAATGTAAAGAATCATTGGGCAAGGACCGCTTCGTGAAGAAAAAGGTAGGTCTTGAATGAGCCTCAAAATTGCACTTAAAGCAATACTGTATTGTGTGTTTGAGAGTTGCTGAGAGTAGTTCTCAATCACAAGAAATAAATTATAACTGGGGGTAGTGATGAATCTTAACCAGATTTACCATGATGATCATTTTATTTTGCAATACAAAATATCAAATCATGTTGTACACCGGAAACTAATGTTATATCACTTATATCTCAATTTTTAAAAACTGCACTGTCCAGTATGTTATACCACACAGCCATACAAATTAAAATTAAGTTAAAAGACAAAATTCTTCAGTCAGTCACTTTTTAATTGCTTAATATCCACATTTGGCTAATGGTTACCATATTGGACATTACAAATATAGAACATTTCTATCACAGAAAGTTCTGTTGAACAGTAGTGCCTTGAAGGATAGGTCTGACTAAAGTAAGCTGATAAAACTATAGAAACCATATTATCCAAACTTTATAACAACCCCTTATTTATAAGAAAATTTTAGGCTCAGAGAAGTTTAATACATTTCCTAACATCACCTAGCTATTAAGAGCTAGGATTTAGCCCTAACCGGTTTGGCTCAGTGGATAGAGTGTCAGCCTGCGGACTCAAGGATCCCAGGTTCGATTCCGGTCAAGGGCATGTACCTTGGTTGCGGGGACATACCCAGTAAGGAGTGTGCAGGAGGCAGCTGATCAATGTTTCTAACTCTCTATTCCTCTCCCTTCCTCTTTGTAAAATATCAATAAAATATATATTTTTAAAAAAAAGAGCCAGGATTTAAATGCAGTTCTGTCAAAACTCCCTATTTTCACTTCAACCTGAAGTAAGCAGAGCTACAGAAGATGGTTTGTTTTAGGATGTAATGGGATATAATCAAAGTGTTGTTTTACTCCTTTGCTGTCCTATAGTTACAGACTTTATAATTATGCAAAATGTTTTCAGAACAGCAGCTTTTGAGATTAGCTAAGGGAATGTAGTCAGAAAGCAAGACATAAAGTCAGAGGTTTCCATAGGTGTAATGTCCACCTCAAAACTCCATGATCCAAATACATCTTACAGGAGAATAATTATAGATTTAAAGGTGCAACTTCTCTATTTGTCTCATCTCACAAAATCCTGAGTGCAAAGGGTCTGGTCTTTGGTCTTACCACATAGCACAAAACCTAGCACATAAATCCTAATGTCAAATGTGATGCCTTTCCCAAATTCCAGTCATGCTTCAGCAAGTGTCATTCTACCACATGAAGGCCACTTCACATTTACTGAGTATTTACTTAGTATAAAGTAAATATTTTGTAAATACCCCATAAACAATCTATGACCCACTCACTTTGTTCCCTATAAGAAGTGCTTCAAAGTACTGGAGCTCATGGCCAAAGGGTTCATTTTATATGTGTGAACATATATAAAAATTGTTAATAATCAACTGATGCTTCTGTGTAATTATACTGCCACTCAGTTTTACTCAGTGCCTACTGTGTGTCTAGCAATTTGGAATACTACAGCAATTCACAAAACCTATCTTTTGAGGGGTTGTTTTCTTTAAATAATTTTTGTTTCTGTATTATTGATATGAGAGAGAGAGAGAGAGAAAGGAAGTGAGAGCAAGTAACATTGATTGACTGTCTCTCACCCCAACTCTGGATGAGTTAGAAAACCTGGGCATGTGCCCTGACTGGGAAGCCAACTAGAAACCTTTTGGTGCACAGGATGATGCTCAACCAACCAGCCAGGGCCCTCCTATCATTTTTTGATAGAAAAGACACATATACGTGTGACAGAGAACACTGAGAGTTGAAGTACCTACCCTTTATGGTCCTGTCAGCCTATAACCATCAATAGACTCAGTGTTCTATGAACTACACAGGGCTGCTGAGAATGTCCAAATGCACGTCCACTTGTTTAGGGGGTCTGCAGCAGATGTAACAGAGGCTTTCAAATAACACTTCTGGGCTAGCACACAGGGTGCTGAAGACCCAGGTCTTTCGTCTTCAGTGGATCCCATCTTTAACCTGAAGCAAAGGAAAATAAATTGGTTGCTTGGCATAGTTCTTTTAGAGCTAGCTCTACAGGGCACTACTCTCAGAACAGACTCCCGTGTTTTTTGTTTTTAAATATATTTTTATTGATTTCAGAGAGGAAGGGAGAGGGAGAGATATAAACATCAGCGATGAGAATCACCAATTGGCTGCCTCCTGCACGTCATTACTGGGGATCGAGCCCGCATCCCTGGCATGTGCCTCCACCAGCAATCAAACCGTGACCTCCTGGTTCATAGTTCAGTGCTCAACCACTGAGCCATGCTAGCTGGGCAGACTGTTTTGTTCCCCACGCACTGTCAGCTAATTTAGCCAAGAACAGTGATTGTTATAACCTCTCAGTGCAGGAGGTAGGCACTCAGAGCATATATGAAATAAAAGTGGTGAGGTCAGAAACATCACTGATCATGCAGATTATTCCAGAAGACCACCATTTCACCCAGTCCCATTGCTGGTGGAACAAATGAAAATATAGGACCGAGGGCTTTGGGTCAAAACAGCAAACAGGAATAATTTGAAATCAGGATGCAAGTGGAAGTAAAGACCTTCTACCCTGTTAACTTGATATTTTATTTCACACTTTGCCTCTCTTGAATATATAATGCACTTTTCAGATATTACCTTTTTGCAAGTACTGTGTCAGCTCCATTTTATAAGTAATGCAAGCAAGGTTAGAGACTAAATGATAGGCAACTCAGCTTAATAGTTGAGATAATGGATGTAAGTTGGACAGAACTGAATTTGAATCTTGGATCCCCTACATATTTTCTGTGACCTTGGGCAAATTATGCAATTTCCCTAAGCCTCAGATTACCGCCCCCCCTTTTTTTCTCTTTTTTAAATATATTTTTATTAATTTCAAAGAAGGAAGAGGGAGGGAAAGATAGAAACATCAATGATGAGAGAGAATCATCAATCAGCTGCCTCCTACATATCCCCTACAGGAGATAGAGCCCACAACCCGGGGCATGTGCTCTGACCAGGAATCGAACCATGACCTCCTGGTTCATAGGCAGATGTTCAACTAAGCCACATCGGCCAGGCCTCAGATTCCCTTTCTGTACAATGAGGACAAATACCACCTACCTCTTATAACTGTTGTAAAGAATGAGGCAAAATATAAAATATTTTAATGATTAATATGTTGTTTCTATAAAGTATCCAAACTCAACCACCTTAATGAATAGAAATGCAGGTATTCTGCCTAAAAATTTCACTTTTCATAACAATCCTGAAGCTAAGAAAGTCACTGATACGCTTATAAGGTCCCTTCCAAATCCAAGATTTGGTATATTTTAAGAAAAACTTTACTTCTTCCTTTCCCTCATTTCCTACTTAACAGTGAAGATTCTAGTGTAGTCTATATAAAATTACTGAACAAAAGCATACTTCCACTGGAAATAAACTAATTTTTCTCCCAATCAGCAAAGCCTGACTGGAAAAGTAGGTGTTTCACAAGACATGATCTTAGCCTTCTCTCAAGACTTTAAAAATGTACTCACATTAAAACCACCAGTATGGTGTTGCTTTTTTTTAAAAAAAAAATATTTTTTATTGATTTCAGAGAGGGAGGGAGGAAAGGAGGGAGAGGAAGAGAGAGTGTGGAAGAGAGAAAGAGAGAGAGAGAGAGAGAGAGAGAGAGAGAGAGAGAGAGAGAGAGTGACAGGCTCTGTATGTTGCTATTATAAAGAATGCAGTCACTCTATATTTAGTCATTTGGAAATCTTAAGTTGAAAAAGTAAGGTACATGATAGTGTATGCATATGGAAGAGGGGAGGGAAAGTACATATATCTGCTTATATCTGCATAAAATATCTCAGGAAGAATACACAAGAAACTGCTAACACTGTTATTGGGGAGGGGAATAAACTGGCGTAGGACCGCATTGTATATACTTTGATCCTTTTGAATTTTTAACCATGTAAATGTATTACCTATTCAAAAAATAACATTAATTTAACAATGCTTGAGAATTATTAAAATTCCATACAGGTGTCTTTCTGACACGTTTTTGCCTGTAAGATAACAAACACATACATTTTATTCAAACTAATGTATATTAAAGAGAAAAATGGGAATGGGGTGAAATTATACTCAAAGACACTAGGCAAAACATTTTATGAGAAAAAGATATACTAAAAAAAAAATGTATCGCTTACTTTTAAAAGTTACCTAACATTTATTATACACCAACTAATGCCTGGCCTTCATATATTTTGATCCTCAAAAGCTGAGCCTCTGACTGAGTAGTTCAGTTGGTTACATAGTGTCAGCTGGATATGTCAAGGTTGTGGGTCTGATCTCTAGTCAGGGCACATACAAGAATCAACCAATGAGTGGAACAGCAACTGTGGTCTCTCTCTTCTCCTCTCTAAAATCAATTTTAAAAAAATAAAATAAAATAAAATAAAAGCTGATCCTCACTGACTCACAAAGGTCACTGGAATGGTAAAGTGTGGCACGAATTTGATTTAGGTTTACACCCAGCTAGGCCCCTGATCTTTTTTAGTTTATCCTAAGCTTTTTAGGGCACCCTCACCACCGTGAGGACATTAAATTGGGAGCTCTCTTGGAGCTCACTGAAATCATATGACTTCAGAGTTTGCTGCTTAGTCTCACTAAGAAAACTGGAAGGCTCTGGGCAAAGACAACATCCGCTGCAGCTCCCACAAACCCAGTAAGGACCCGGGCCCTGCAGACACAGAAAAATTAAAATGTACTGGTCTGAACTCCTCCCAAGACCTACCCTCTCAGCCAGGGAGATAACATTCAAACCAGCACTAGGCTAATAGCAACACCTTTTTCTTCAAGTAAAATGAACCCAGGTGTTTTCCAGGAACACATGCACTGTGTGCATAAAGCCAGGTCTCTTGTTCCTAGGTCACCAGTCTCGGGAAGGAAGGGAGACCCAGGACTGCAGAAGCCCACGTGGAAACAAGCCAGGCAGAGCACTTCACTGCCTTCCTCCCATCTCCACAGCCCAACTGCATCGCCTTATGCCTCACACACACCTACTCCAATTCTGTCTTGAAATAAAGGCCTGCCACCAGGAAACATGGCCCAAATGGAGCAGATATTCAAAACAATTAGGAGACAAAATAAGAGCACACTTACCAGTCTATCACCAACAGGAGAGAGAGAAAGTGGAGAGACAGGAAGTGGCTTTAAGAAGGGGCCTCAGAACCTGATTGGCTAATGAGTTAAAGGCCGATGCCCTCCTCTTCTACCTTAAAAGGTACTAAAATAACACAAACCCCTCCTTCACCAACTTATCTCTTAATGGACCAATAATGCTACCTTAATTGTTTTAGGTTGAACTTTTTAAACCAAGTTTCCTTTTGAGTTAATGTAGGTAGCACAAGCAAACACGGGCTAATTCAGGCTACTAATAAATATTCTTGTTTAGATGGGCCTACTGCAATCAATTTTCATTCCTTTAGAATCAGGGGTGGGGAACCTTTTTTCTGCCAAGGACTACGTGGATATTTATAACATCATTCGTGGGCCATACAAAATTACCACCTTAAAAATTAACCTGCTATATTTGGTCAAACATTTCATTAATTCACTCCTAATGCCTTGGCAGGGCAGGCCAAATGATTTCAGGGGGCTTTACTCGACTCACAGGCCAGAAGTTCCCCATCCCTACTTAGGATAATTTCCTATCCTTTGTGACGTCAACATGGTTAATTTATGCATGGTTGCATTATAAACAGTCTAAATCTGTTCACCTTAGAACTTACCTTCCGGGTAACATTTAAGTTAACACGCTCAGTGGTTAAAACATGGGTGGTTAAAGGCCTAGGCTTTGAAATAAAATTTAGCCGTATAAGCAAACCTTGCTAAACTAACCCTTTCCTTTCTAGTTACTTTTTCACCATTTACTACCCCCAGCTCCTACACCTTTGACTTGTCAATTCTTTTTTTTTAATTATTATTATTTTAAATCCTCCTGCGAGGCTATTTTTCCATTGATTTTAGAGAGAGTAGAAGAGAGAGGGAAAGACAGAGAGAAACATCAATGTGAGAGAAACACATCGATTGGTTGCCTCCTGCACAAACCCTGGCCAGGGCCGGGGCAGGGATGAGCCTGCAACCAAGGTATGTGCCCTTGGCCCGAATCAAACCCGGGACCCTTTGGTCCGCAGGCCTATACTCTATCCACTGAGCCAAACTGACACTGGCTGACTTCTCAATTCTTTACAAACATCGTTGTCTAGAAAGAAGGTATAAAAGTTTCCTGTTCTAGACACTTCTTTGGATCTTCATTCTCTTGTGAAGTCTCCCAAGTCCATGTAAAAATTCAATAACATTTGTATGCTTTTCTCCTGTTAATCTGTCTTTGTCAGTTTCATTTTTAAGCCTAGCCAGGGGCCCTAAAGGGGATGAGGAAAACTTTTTCTACCTTATAGTAGCAAAGGAAAACCTCTATTTCAAGGTGCTGTGCACAGATATTCCAGGATACTTTCTAGCTGCAGTCTGGAATAAATTCCTTAAAATCTCTGAGACTCAATTTTCTCCTCTGTAACATGGTGCCAATTATACCTATTGTGGACTTTTAAGAGCTTTAATACCAGTACCATAAATTGTGGCCCAAAATTTGGATTTTTGCAGCTTGAGCTCTGAAGTTGCTTGCAGAGCATAACGTTGTCCTTTTGGGCTCCGAAACTGTCTGCATAGCCTCCTATGCTGATTGTACTGTTTGTTAAATAATACTCTCTGTACTATAACTGTGTGATCAAAGACAGCCTACTTATTCTACAGGCCTGGCTGAAAGTAGGACTTGATAAATGCTTA